TGATGTTGCAGTTGATGCAGTCATCGATGGTAACTGTGTTCACATGGTACAGGACATAGATGGTCGAGTCCTGCAAAAGAAAGTGGTGGGCACTCATTCACACAACAAAGCTGGGCCACATATGTACGTGAGAATCACACTGTCAATGAAGTCATGTTTCTACTACCGAATCTTTCCATTTCAGTGAAGTGAAACTTGAGTTATAGTCCCATATAGAATGTTTTAATCACTAGGATGCCAGCTAGGGCTGCTTAGGGAAGGGTAAATTAAAAGTAATACATTTCTTGTTAATATTATTACCGTAATATCCGGATTCATCGCCTGAAATTCATAAAAAAAAGTGGGGTGGGCCAGGTCTCGGTGGGTGAGCACAGAAACTTAGAAAAAGCGGAAAAACCACCCATTTTTCTCTGCGTATCTGGCACTGCTGCACAAGAGATACATTAAACTCAAAGCTCGATTTAGTTTTGTTGTTTTAGAGAAAAAATATACTTACGAAAGAAGGTTTTACTATTGCGAAGTCCGTTGCTTGCATACGTGCTAGGAACACTGCCGATCTGCATACAGTGCAAACGTTTGTTCCGTGAAAGCACGTCACCACTATGTTCTCCAGGTAAGTAAAAAAAAGGAAAAAACAAAATGACCGCATCTCCACGTGGTGAATGATGGTGATTGGGGCGAAGCTCTGGTGGTGCTTGTGTGCGTAGACGCTGAGCCGCAGCATGCCGAGCCTTTCGTTTGTTTTCATCCATGTCAGAAAGATAATGTGTGGTATGGAACGTGATATACGCAGTTGAGGATTTGACCCCAGCGCCCTCTCCTGTATAGACGTTGAGCGACTACATGCAACGTTTCATCCATGACATCCCCAGCTCTTGAGTTACTACCACATCTCAGAGCCCCCTACTCCTCCCGCAGTCGTGGCCGAGTGGTTAAGGCGATGGACTAGAAGTCCATTGGGGTCTCCCCGCACAGGTTCAAATGCTGTCGACTGCAAAAATATTTTTTTTTTTTGCCCTGCACAAGCACGTGAGCTCACAAGCACGATCACGAACTTGAGCACCAACAAGATCAATATGAGCACGGACGCCGGACAGACAAGGCTAGACCCTAAGGAGCTTCGCCCCTAAAAGTCCACAAGAAAACAGAAAAACCAACCAGGTGCAATGAGCGAGCGGACCAAAGAAACGACGAAGAGCGATGCTGGAAAAGCGGAAAAGCCGGCGATCGCGTTGGCAAATACCTTGGTGTTGGGTCAAGTCGGGCGCCTTGTCAATTGCAAGCTCTTGCGCAACTTCCTTGTTTGGTGCGCACATGCGTGCGTCCGTGCACAGCATGCTATCAATGGGGGTTTGGGACGCTCTACAAACGTCTATGTAGGTCATTCTAGCAAAGCTGTATTTACCCGTCGGCTTTGTCTAAAACATTGCACAACTGCGGTCGCGACGTACGGGGAGAAGGAGCGGGTTTGCGGCGACCTTACTTTGGCAGAGACAGACTTTGACCTTAGACTACATTCCAGGATATGGGGCATTCGCTTATTTCGCGATCCCCGACTGGGTTACTGCCCGTGTTAGCTTTCCGATTTTTTTTATTTCATTTTTGTTGGGTCGATTTTTTTGTAAGCAATTCACACTTTTATTTCGTTATCTCCATTGTTTTCTTTTTGCACGGATACACTACCACTTTAGAGTTGCTCACGGAGGAAATGTGTAAACAAAGAGAAGTGTCTTTCCCTCCTTCGTTTTACTTTGTCACTGACGTCCTCTAACTGTAAAGTCCGCGGCCGCCTCATTCGGGCAGGATGAGTGTTTGCGGATCGCGGAGTCCGCGTTGGGGTATTTGAAGGGATGGGCGATGGCTCGGTGTTTTTTTTGGAAATCAATATTGGCCCAAAAAATGCGGTGGGCGATGACATGGGATATTACGGTAGGTCCTATTTCATTGTTTCAACACAAGCTATCAATATTCACAGATTAAGCAAGCCAACAACCTGAAACAGGTGGTTTAATTTTCTCCCACCTGCCGCAGGCTTGAGCGTGCACCGAGCCTCGTCAGATCCACTAAATATTCATGATGCGACCGCTTCCCGCTCTTGGCGTCGCCCTTGCACCGGCACGTTCGGCGTCGCCGCGTTCGCTTTAGCAGGGTAAGAATGTGCTCCATGTCCTGGTGTTTAAAAAACCTGTGACGTCATCTGGTGGTCATCTGGCGGTCCGTTTCAACGGGCAAGCCAGCGTTTCCCAAGCCTCGTTATGATGTCCGCAGCATTGCAGACAAAAAAATACCGCCGATTTTTTTTGTTGCATGTACAACTCCCTCAACCGCTGAATAAGCAAAGCTGAGAAGCTATCTTTTGCGAAATTCAGACAATTTCCGGGCAAGCTGTAGGAAGTGAAGCCGGCAAAGCATCGACAGTAATAAATCGCAGGGGTTCCACGGTGTGATTCACCACGTGAGCTCCGTTCATACCGTCTTTTTTCTATTTTTACCTGGTTCCCACGATACAGATTTGCCTGTAGCTGGCGCTAGGGTACACTTACTCTAGCTGGCACCGGCCACTGTTTTGGTGCAAAGTCCTAGTAGCAGTCCATGAACAGAGAAGCCAAAACCCTGAAACGCCCACTTCATGGGGAACGAAATGATCCTCACTATCCGGCCCAGATTACCAGTATTTCTAAATATAAAAATTAAAGAGTGGCAAACTAATATTGTGACTGTTTGCGTGGCTGCGGCACTTTGCACCAAAAACATACAAGTCCCTAAAATGTGTCTTGAAACCTCCGAAGGATGTGAAGTGTGTATACATTATTTTTCTGCCGGCTAAAGCGTCTGCGCATTTTTCTTTATGAATAAATTCTGAAAAAACTTTTTTGCGTTGTTCGCGTCATGATTGGTGTAGGGTGGTGATTTGGGCCAGTCATGAGTGGTGTGCTTCATTCTTGGTTTGTTGGACAAATCTAGAAGCATGAAGCACTAATCAAAAAGCTTGTTGATTATATTTGGCTCATCAACGACGGACGGAGTGATTGCGTATTACCCAGGCTCGGGGCGCAGGTATTGACAAAATCGCCAGCGCTATCCCACATTGTGCTAGTCATGCATGTTGACTTTGCGAGTGCGATTCACACTCAGGTTAACGAGTATCCGTAGATCATTTCAGCCTTCCCTCATCGGTCACTGCAACGAGATGAGGAACTCTCTGGACATATCATCTTTTATACGAAAGGAGCAGCAAAGGGGCAAAAGGGTCGAAAACTGAACAACCTAATAAGCTGAGGTGGCGTAAAAAAAATCTTGGGTGAAAAGTCACGCTTAAAAGAATAATAAAACAGTGGACACGGTTGTCATAAAATCACCTGCGCGAAACACATCAACACGACTTCGCCAACCTGCTGGTTGCCGCGGCGTCAATTATCCTCTTTTCCACAGAAAACGGGTGATTGACAGCATAATGCTTATTTCCTAGCCCGAGACGCTTGAAACGTTGATTGATTGGAACTGCTTTCCCACTTCAATCGCTATCCTCCTACTAATATATACACGTTGTAATTATTTTTTTTTTTTTGTGAGCTTCAACGCGCTACTTTGAAAGTATTTGAAATAAATAAAGAGTAAAGCTATACGCACTCCGGAGTGCGCTTCGCGCGGAAATGGCTATACGCACTCCTCCGAGAGATCATGCCGCTCGGGCCACCCTTTTCGAACGGCGCGTGAATCACTGGGGCGCTCGTTAACACAGCCCCCCGCCTGCGTTCACGCCGCTTCGCGGCGACAGTATCGGCTGCTAATTACAAAGCGTAACCAGTACACGCCGCTTCGCGGCGTCCAGCCGGCAATCCAAGCCCCGCTGTCCCCGATCGCACCTCCGGAAAGGGAGTCCGATACCATTTAGTTCTGCAAAGTTTCTCGACAACATTCGATTTTTTTTTTTTTTTTTTTTACTGTTCATCGCAAAAAAGGAAATGTAAATATCGCCAAATGCCTCGACAAAACAAAATGTTTGAGAAAAAAAAAAAAAAAAAAAAAGTAGGCCCACCGCGGATCGAACCCGCGTCCACTTGCGTATGAAGCGGACACCCTAACCCCTATGCCACGGCACCGCTTCGAAAACTCGTTGCGTCCACTCTTTTTATACGAGAAAAGCGGAGTGCGTATAGCCATTTCCGTCCGAAGCGCACTCCGGAGTGCGTATAGCTTTACTCATAAATAAATAAACTACCTCACAGTTCTGAATGATGAATTGCTGCCCGCGGACGCGACCCGGGTACTTCACAATCGTGGCACCTTTGGCATTCTCAACGGTGTAGTCTTCTGTGTTTACGTTGCCTCTTTTGTCCCTGGAAAAGAGAGAAAGCGAAAGTTGTGTTGACACTGCTGGCGGGACGTACGCGCTTTGTTTACAAACGAAAGTAAAGGTCAAAGGGCACCGGCTGAGCAAACAACAGTAAATTCTTACCATGAATACGTTTTCCGTTCAGGTGAGCTTCTCGATTTTAGGCCACCGGGCTTAAAGGGTGACCGTTTACAGTGCACGCAACCCATGCCAGCAAACATGAAGGTGCTATGATCACTTCTCTAACCGAACCAGACTATGGCGCGCCGGCATCGATTTCATTGTCCGTCGTTAAACTAAACGATGGGCGTTTAAAGCAGATCCTTAAGTTTTATCTCTGTATTAAAATCACTGCTTTTACTTAGCTATGTAGTGTTGTATTATTTACACACGAGATGGAATTTGCGTAATAGTGTAAGAACACGGAGAAAACCCACGTTCATCTCGGCCATCTTGATGCCGTTGCTAAGCGACAGGTGTCCAATAGAAGAGGTGATGCGTGACAAAAATAAAATTACATTCTCAAATCAATTTATCTAAGCAAAATAACTTGTGTATTATTTATAATAAATATTTTACTACGTGTTTATTATTTATTTATTTATTCAGTTGGTTTCCACTTTCGCGTTTTCTAAGCAGACGGTTTGCTGGGTTTGCTGCTTGTTTTGCTGTAGTACGCTCGTCTGTTTGTGTGCCCGACGATGTTTACTGCTTATTCGCCGTGTTGAATTTTCAAGGTAGAAAAGCAGCGGTGATGTGACATTTTAACAACTGCTTCGGTGAGTAAACGCTGGAATACATGAGAGCGCTGCGACCATATTAAAATTCGCCACTGCGCCAAAGCACCTCTCGTCTTTGCCGTCGTATGGTTGCGGCGGGTTGCATCAACGCGTTGCCATATCTACCTTTTTATTTTAGGCAGCCGCATTATTCGTAAAATAGCTTCATAACCGACGAATTCGGTGTCCTTTCGAGACAAACTTTCTAAATGACTGGCACGCGCTACGGAAGTGTCATTACTAGAGGCGACTGTGTTTTCGTGAGTCAGTCGCCTCCACGGTGTTGACAATCTAGTTCGCTCAAAGAAACGCTTTTTAATACCAAGCTCTTCAACACTAAATATGATTTGATGACAATAGTATGGAGTAGTTGGCTGCCAACTGCATCTTGTTTGTATATAGAATGTCTTGACTTTTTTTGTATTTTATTCTGCGATTGCTAGCGGCTGAACTGCAGGTGAGATATCATCTTTGCTTTTAGTACGCTGCCCCCCAAAATGAGAAAGTTCGTTGTGTTTGAAGTGGGAACTTCTCTTGCGAATAAATAAAACAGGTGCGCTATTTATCCCCTAAATGAGTAAAACACGTCGGCGCATGGTGTTCTCTGCCTTTGGGTAAATTTCAGTTTATAGAAATTTTGTTCTTGCAGTTTTTTTCCAGATGAAAATCGAAATTCCTGAGTAGGAATCGACACCCTATACCCAGAAATAAACATTAGGTGGGCGTTTTGGGAGTGGAGAAGCTAATAATGAAGAATGTGTTATTCAACTTTTTGCGAAAATGTCAATGTAGTAAGTGGGACTCGAGGGAATATATATATATATCATAGAGCGAAGTAACGCGGATTTGCAGTGCACTTCACCCTTGAACCCAACAGCGGCCTACAGATCCCCAGTTGGCAGTTTAGAATCCCGGCCGAGATGCCAGCAATGTGGCGGAGGCTTATTGCGGAGAAGGTGCTGTGGAAACTGAGGTTTTAGTTGCACGTCCAAAGGTATTCCTTGGGTGGTCCAAATTGATCCTCAATCCTCCGCCTGTGCGTGCCAGGTGCCCCTTGTTGGTTTGGCACGTAAAACCTCCTAATCTTAATTTGGCCCTTCGTTGTTTGTTGTATGCTACCATGGCAGCTGAAGTTGACCACCCTGCTCCAGTAGCAGTGAAGGACAACCTTTATTCCATCTCTTCTTCTTCAGTCTACAAATGCGACAGTAGCCCCGCCACAACAGTTCCCCCCCTTCAAAAATAAAAAGGAAATGCTATGTACAAAATTAGAAACAAAAACACTAATAATATAAAACAAAATCCTGTAATCTTTGTGTTTTGGAGGTCTGTCGGGCAGACCATCTTGGTTCCATGGCCACTGAACTGGGCGAACCGATGAGGAGACATCCCAGTGCCAGCGAGGTCGATGGCGATGTTGGCAACGCAGTCTCCAACAATGTCGCGGGAGGTGATTGTGGTTGTACGCCCATAGAAGGCGGAGATCCAGTTGATGAGGCGGTCGCTGATGGCATTGAGAACCATGGGATGTGGCCCAGTTCAGCTTGATGAGGTGACTGGGTGCTTGGTGGTATGACGACAAGCCATTCCCTGTTCCACACTTTCCGATCTCCTAGGCGGTAGGCCCTCTTCCCAAGGTATTTCACCACCTTGAGAAACGCAGGATAGCTGAAGCTACTTTTTGGATTGTGTCCTGGTAGCTTGACCCATACTTTATCTCAAGGCTTCAGTGCGCTGGCTCTGGCTCCCTGGCGGGCATCTGCATACTTCTTGTACTTCTGCTGGTACTGAGTCGCTCGTTGCAGCTCTCCCAGACCCTTTGTTGGTTGATCGAAGAAATCCTTAGACGGGCCCCCCACGATGTCCAGCCTCATTTTCGGCAGTAGTAAGGCTCGCTTCTCGCCTGTGGCTGCGTGAGGTGTGCGACAGTAGACACTTAGGTACTCTACCACCACTTTCTTTAGGGGACACTGCTCCTGGACATTGACTTGCACAAAGTCCTTGAACACACGCTTAAACATTTTATCTCTCCATTACTCTGGGGATGATACACCAAAGAGAAGGTGTCTCACACTCCTCTTTCTGTCAAAAATGCTTCAAACTCGGCGGACACGAACTAAGGGCTATGGTCACAGACATGTTCAGTAAGGTAGCCTTCTCGGCTAAACATTGCCTGTAAAAACGCAATAATCTTTCTTGATGACGTCACTAGTGCCGTCAAACACGCTTCGGGCCATTTGCTGAAATAATCAATTAGTATTACAGCGTACCGGCAGCTGCTTGGAGCATTAGGAAAGGGCCCAACAATGTCCATTCTACTTTTTCCCAGGGAGCAGACGGGAATGCAACTGGATGTAGGGGAGGTCCACGGATTTCGCAGACTTGTCAACTGCTTTGCAAATACCGCAGGACCTAACAACAGTTTCATGTGCTTGTCCATTCTAGACCACCAATAACAACAAAGCCTGCTGCTTTGTTGTTATTCCAGGGTGAGCTTCGTGCGCCAGTTCCACAATCTTCGCAGTTAGAGCGGTTGGAACATCGCAATCACCCTAAAACAGCAGGTCTCCACTCATGAAAAGTTCTTTTACTTGGTGAAAGGGTGCCAGGTCAGGATGCAGCTCCTTTCTTGGTGGCCAGGTGCTGGTTGTCAAAGCAACTACTTGTTGCAGACGGTTGTCTTGCCATCTCTCTTCGACTAACTCTTGCTGCGATACACACAAAGAAATAACACAGACAATCTCGTCTTCCTGGGTTTCCCTGGGCGCATCAAGAGGCATACACGAAAGAGCATCTGCCACAAAGTTGTCTTCTCCCTTCTTGAAAACCATGGTGAAGCTGTACATAAGCAAACAAGCATACCATCTTGTGATCCTGAATGGTCATTCGCCAGTCCCCTGCGAGCCCAACAGTGTCAACAGTGACTGGTGGTCGGTCTGCAGCATAAAATGCAGACCCTAAAAGAAAACGTGCCTGTGCTCGCATGCCCACATGCAGGCCAACGCCTCACGCTCTCCAACAGAGTAGGTACTTCCGCTCCTGTGGTGTTGGAGCTTGAGAAGCAAAGGAGACGGTCACAGGGTCTCAATTTTTGTTCTGCTGTAGAACAGCTTCAAGGCCGTATGCTGAGGCATCAGTTGTCACAACCACAGGCAGCTTAGTGTCGAACATTTGGAGAGGCTCGCGGTAAAGTAAGGGCTTCATTTTCTGAAAACTGTTTTCCCAACCAGCCGCCCAGCAGGAGGGTTTTCCCTTGCATAGTAGCTCACGTAGTGGTTCCGCCATCTCTGCATACCGAGGATGAACTTGACGTAGTAGTCGAACATGCCTAGAAACAGCATAGCATGGTGAGGTCTGTAGGTGCTTGAGCCTTGATAATCGCATCAACATGGCTTTGCATGGGTGACACTCCCCACTTGCTGACAGCGTGCCCAAAGAATGACAGTTTCCGAACACTGAAGGTGCACTTGTCGTTCAGCTTCAAGCCCGCTTCGCTGATGCGACGGAGAACTTCATGCACATTCTTAAGGTGCTTCTTTTCGGTAGTTCCAAAAATAATGATGTCATCCAGGTAGCAGTGTACTTGTTGACATCCCTTCAGGATTGTAGTCATCATTTTCTGGAACGCATCAGGAGCCGATGCCAACCCAAAACAAACCTTGGTGAACCTGAAAAGTCGATCATGGGCTATGAACACCATCAGGTCACGGCTTTTCGGGCGCAAAAGAACTTGATGGTACATGCTCAATAGACCCAGGCGTGAGAAGTACTTTGCTCCAACCAGTGCTTGTAGCAGTTCCTCAGTGTGATGCAACGGAAAGTTGTCAGTTACGGCAGCCTTGTTTACTTCTTTTAAATCGACTCGGAGTCTAACTTTCCCATTCTTTTCTTTCACCGCCACGATCGGCGAGACCCACTCAGACGCATCAATTCTCTCGACGACGCCTGCCTGTAGAAGTCTCTTGAGCTCTTTAGAGACTTCGTCGTTGACAGAAAAAGGAACATTTTGCAGTTTGGCAGGAACAAGCTGGACTCCTTGACACTCCTACATGTTGTGAGTGAACCCCATCGCAGTAGTGAGGGTTCCGTCAAAAAGGTGCGCTAAGTCATCTACCAAGTTTCGAGGGAGTCCAGGAGGTATGCAGTTCACACTACCACTGATCTCAATGGATAAACAAGCAATGGCGTCGATGCCGAGTATGTCCGTACCGTTCGGGACGACTATGAAGCATACAGAATCCTTGCGCTCCTTGTAACCAGCAGCAGCAACAAAGCAGCCTGCTATGGCAGTCTTCTGCTAGGAAAAATTGAACTAACTTGCGGATATACCTTGCAGCTGATAAGCAGAACTGAAGTTTCGTTTGTATCTTCCGACATTATGAAACTGCTGACCCTGTGTCAACCAAGAATGATAGGGGCGTTCCTTCGACTTGAACCGGAATGTAGATACCACTCTTTGGTTTATCATGCTTGTGAAGAATACTAAGAACGTCCTCGTCAGGGCCATTCAAGCATGCAACTTCTCTGATAGTGCCACCTTTGCTAGTGTGACTGGCAGTACTCTTGCAGACAGCATGATAATGTCAGACTTTACCACATCCAGCACACTTTTTTCCTCTTGCTTTGCATATAGCGGAATTTGCAAGATGCCCCGACGACCTGCAGCGGTAACATTTCTTCAAAGTGGAGGATGAAGGCTCACCTCCCTGTGTACGCTCTGGTCGCTCGGCATTTGGAGTAGACTTAACGTCCACCACTGGCACGATGGGTTCGGGATTTATGCTCAGTACTATCGCAGGTCAAGCTGCTTCGGTTGGGATTGTAGATTAATCTTCGATTTTAAAAATCTTGAGTTTGGTAGGTGCAAAATGCTTAGTGGGACACGATTTAGTGGGTGTGCAGGTTTTTGCTGGCATTTTACAAAAATTATACTTGCGTGCGAGATAAACTATCTGGAAAAAGGGGGAGGGGGAAAGAGGCTTTATCTCGACTGAGGTGTTGTGCTATGATTAATTTTCCAACCATTTTATCTTAGTACCCATTGTAAACAAAACCTACTTGGATCTGAGACCTATTTCTAAAAATAATGTTATGTTCCTTTTGCATCCTATTCATTTTCATTAAACGAGGTAATAAGTAATAGGATTTAGTATCAAAGAGGAACCCTCAATCGTGATCAAAGAAAAATGCATATGGCGACATATTTTATATCTATTTTCGAGTGATGCACTAATAGATGTTGACATCTGCTCCAAAAGCCTCAGTGGCTGCTCTAAACCAATATTTTGCCTGCTACAAAAACTACTTTCATAACCCTAGACAAGGCTGGAACTTGTGTTCTCAGTGATTACGCGCAAGTCCCAGTAAACACTGATGCAACATGTCTGTTTAATTTGTGTCACTTGCTGGCTTCCAATAGATGACCTGAAGTAAATCTAACACTAAGCCCTGGTTATCTTGTCTGCAAAAATATGAAGACCCACGTGGCTATTTTTTGGTACATAGAATAAACAATATTATTATTAATAATATTATATCTAAAAGGTGTTGATGCAATGGCAACTTCTGTTTTGGCGAGATGAAACGTGCTGCCCCATCTGAGGCAGTCTCGATGCGTGTCTTTGAAAGCGGCCTTCAGGGGACGTGAGATCTGTTGTTTAGACACCGTTCATTGTTTCAGCTCAAGAATTTTAGGATGAAGGGGCTCGCATGTTTGTATTTGTCTCCCCTTGTTTCGTTCTTTCGTGAATATGCATTAAACCCGAAAGAGGTTATACTTCAAGCCGTCAGTATAGAACCGAGCCTGTGTCGTGTCTATGAGCGGTCATCTGTATGGGATTGGGTCAGTCGGTCATTCAGCTTCATTGTCAATACTAGCAAAAGCCATCAAATATCTGAGTCTGCAAATTTTGGCAACCACAACTTTTTTTTGGTCCATCCACCAATGTGCCATATTTTCCAAGTTATTACTGGCAGACTGAACATTTCTTTTTTTTTTTTATGTTAGGATTGTACTGGCTATCATGTTTATTTGCAAATATATATGCTTCTATACGGATAAGGATCGAAGTGTTAATGTTGTTTGACATGCCACTATACCCGTTTTCACCTCAAGAAAAAAGGATATTTTGCTCCATGTTCCTACGCCGCGCGAAGTAGTTCTCACAAAATTTGGTCGTCGGACGCAGGAGCGGTGCTTTTGGCGTTTGAAACGTGTATGTCTTGATAAGAGAACACATATCTAATCTAAAATACACCTACATATATCTCAATTCTCAGCATAAAAAGGGAAATTAGTAATGCTCCGCGAGCAGCCGGACTTTTTTTACTACGGTTCTTGAGGTGAAAACGGGTATAGACAATAGCATCGATGACACTGAGGCCAAGATGTTTACCATTGGGCCAGTTTACTATGGCCACAACCGTGTTACTATGACCCCGTGCTTAGGTGACAAGCAGCCTGTCTCTTGGCCACGAGGCTATAGTTTCTTAAAAAAATTGGCTTTTACTGTAACTTTTTAGGTGCAGAGCACCTTAGAAAAAAAAAAAAGACATTCTTTGTTCTTCGTAAACACCTTAATCTTGATCTGGATTGCGGCCGTTAGTTTCTGCATGCTCTATTTCCAGAAAAGGTTGGGAACAAAGAGCAATGCTCAGAAATGTTTCATCTTAAGACATTCTTGCTATGTTTGTAACTTCAGAGGTTCTTAAGATGTGCCAGAATTGGTATGCTCTAAAAGAGTTCTTTGGAAGCGAACAGGAGTATGGCAAAAGAGTAAGGGAAAGAGAGAAGCTTTTGGTGTCTCGCAACCAACGAGAGTTGCGAGAGCGAAGCGTTGCCATGGTGACGGGGGATGCCTTGCCTGAACTTTTTCCTTTCGGTGACAAAACTGCCGTTGCATCAGCAGCATTTTAAAAGAGCTGTGCAACAATTTTAACGTTGAAAAAATTTGCATCTTCTGCTTTTGATATTGTTCACCTTGTCATAAATGACAGAAAATACACCTCCTTTCATCGAAATGTTGAGACTCCGCCGTGTAATAGCGAGGCAAAACTTAGAATATTCCCCGACCTGCAGCCGCGAGCGACGACCATGAGAAACACGCGGTGTGACATTAATGGGGAATCTTGTAGAAAGATAGCAAGTTGGCGAATACCTGCTCGATAAAAGGAAACTTTTCTATAAATCTTATCGTTCCAACATATATATAAATGCGTCAAAAACCTGGTATCATCGACAAAACTTTTATTATACGGAGTTTTAGTGGTGCCATTTATCCTAGGTCCACAGAACCGTCAGCCCTCTCTGCTACCACGAACAGCCGCCAGAATCCAAAGGGGGAGGGGGACATGGGCTGGATGGGTATGGCTAGACCCGGATAGACTTTTCTCCTTTCACCATGTTGTTCGCGCGGCGCCTGCCAGCACGTGGTCATGCGGTCGCGAGCGGATGAGTTCTCGCTGCTCACTGATGGCTCTAAAGAGAACTTTTCCGGAACCCCGCATCTACATCATCAACGTCACTGCGCGCGTGACCCGGAAGACGACGTATGAGTTAAGAGGCAGCAAAAACCTGGATCTTTTTCATTTTTTAAAATAAAAACTAGGGTATCCAGGCAAAATCGGTTTTCTGTAGTTTACTTGAGAAGTGTCAGGCATCAACTTCCACAATAATTTAAGCGAAGCCCTAAAATTGTTGCACAGCTCCTTTAACTGAATGGTTGCGAAACCTTTTGTAAGAATTAGTCCCCTGTCGCAGAAATTTTGTCTGACTTCACGCGCGAGAAAAAAGATGTCGCATAGGGGATACCGAAAAGTTAGTCATAAAGGTTGATTCACATACTTGCAACTGCTTACGACCGAGTTTTTTAAGACCTCTTGCGATCTCTCTCAACAAGGAACTAGCTTATTTATGAGGAAGATAGGAAAAATTGTGAGATAACTGCATTTCCTACTTCTTTTGCACATTATTCTTTCTTCATTGGCTCGAAGAACTCTGGGGCCACTTCATAATAATAAAAATATTTATGAGCTGCAGTAGTGGTACTCTGGGTAGGCCGCGAGGCTAGACTGATGAGCAGGGCCTGTACAGATGAGCGTCTGCTAGCCACCCAGCCGCCCTCATAGATGGCTCCGGCGTTTACGAGGGTTCTCTCGTCGTCAGAGATCGCAAG